ATACTCCCCTCTGCTGCTGGTTATATGTTGACTACAGCTTTATCGATGTACTCTTAATATCACCTCTCCTGCCTTCAAGCAATGAATTTTATGTTTATAAGTTCATCTTGAAAATTGGTCCTCATTTCTTAGTTGTGCATTTAAATTACAGTGAAGGAGCATAAAATAGAAGTGTTCAAAGTGATCAAAAACTGCACAAAAAGTATTTATTGTGAGGCATGGACACATGCTCTCATCCTCTGGTGCAGTCTGGGACTAGAATATTGGGTCCTTTGAGTCCTGTTGTGAGGTGACGCCACCATGGATTTGGCTTCATCTACAGCTTCTGCTCAAGCGGGTTTGGTACCTGGAGGTTATGAAGGCCAGGTAAATGCCCTGTGCTCTTTGTCCCTGAGCCATTACTGAGGATTTTTTTTCCAGTGTGGGTGGTGTTCCAGGATTTATCAGACCAGCGTGTGCAAAAATAATGACAATATAAATATAGCTATATTTATTATGGAATATCACTTGATATCAGAGAGTTGGTGAACACACATGTGACAGCAGGCATGTTTCAATAATGAAGGTGTAATGTAGCATAGTTTTATAAATCTTCTACTACATCAAATCTCCAGAAAACAAGACATCTATCTGTCTTATCATAGAGCCAAAATAACAAGTGCTGTCATTGTACAGAGGTCACGATACTTTTGGTCTCTATCAGTTCAACAAAAACTCCCAACTTCATTTTCTACTGTTGTTGTGGGTTTATTATGAGGAGTTTCCAAAGGTTTGTGATAGTGGTAAGAGGGAACTAAATTAGTACCTACTCGGGTCGACTCAATGTGACTCAACTCGTTTTCCATAAGAATCGTAAAGTTGAGAGTCATCAAATTACAACAACGGTATGCTGAGAAGTAGGAAACTGTGAGCCTTTTTTGATTGTCATAGCAGGGTAAACACAGGCATAATTGTTTAAATTAATTATGGGCACATTCTATTAAGTGTGTCACATCTTGGCCCATGTAAATGGAACAGGGCCATAATTGATGTTATTAATTTTGCCCTGCAATGCCATGTCAAAATGGCTTCTGTTAAGGCCTGTTGTTGGGGCCTTTTTTTCTTTGGCTTTATCACTACAGGCAGAGGTAATTAATTACAGAAGTAATTACATTTCTCTTTCATTTAAATTATAGTTTAGTGGCTTTTTAACCTCATTTATGTCAGTGTCAGCGCAAACACTTGACTAGCACATGGCTGTTTTTTCCCCTTTTTTACTGCACAATACTCAGCTGACTTTGACTTTGACTTTATTATATATGGTATATGGCCTGTATTTGTATAGCGCTTTACTAGTCCTTAAGGACCCCAAAGCACTTTACACATCCAGTCATTCACCCATTCACACACTATTGACCTTGACTATTGACAACCTTGAAAAGCTTTGTACTTTTGAGTCCTATTGTTTAAATTATTGTAATGACATTGTAAAAAAAACAGTCATTGTTAGCATATTATTGCAGTTCGAAATTGCAAATAACCAGAAATATTGTTTGGATATGGGGATGAGGGATTTATTAAAGTCTTCATTACCAATAGTATAACTCTTCTTAAACTACAAATATAACTATTGTTTTTCAAGTAAACTATTCATCATGAGAGAAAATGGCTGTTGATAGGTTATGATCATCTTTCAGATACCCACATGGTCTTTGACCTTTAACTTTAACTTAGAAACTTCTTGATATATCAATGGCATAGAATCAGAAAAGACATCTCCAAAGACTATCCTTTATGTAACAGAAGTCATGGCAAACATAAAGAGAGGAAATGAGTGGAACGAGAGCAACAAAGATAAAGTTCAGACCACTGAATTGCCCGAGATTTAAGTGGGATCTAATCTCTGTCTAGAGGCAGAAAAGCATTGACACTAGCCACAGGGAAGCATGGTTGTGTGATGGAAGGGTGGTAAATTTTAGCCAGTAAGAGGTTTTGAGGGCTAGTGCCAATACCGATGTCTACTGCTGAAGGGTACTGTTTTGTGTTTTAAGCAAGTTTAAGTTGAGCTTAAGTTGGACAATTTTCAGCCCAAAGAAACTTTTATAAAGTCTTTATATAGATGCATAGAGGGCACTATACACAAAACTATGGTAAAATACAGTGAATGCTAAGATGTAAAAAGTAGATTTACTGTGTTAATCTTTCTAAATCATGTTTTAGGCCCCAATCATTCTATGGCAATCACCAGTTACTAGTGAAAAATTGTAGCTGGCTAATGGTTGCTGTAGCTTTTTAGTGGGACTAGCTGAAATTGGCTACAAAGAGACATATGATGCTGCAACACAAATGTCGTTGAGATTGCGCAGGTCGCTAGCAGGCTGTATTGGTCACCAGTACTTTGTTTGGAAGACACCAGCTTGGCTTCAAACTCTCACAAACTACTATCCAAGCTGTAGTAAAACTGTGAAAAGTGTAAAAGTGAAAGTAGAAGCTTTCCTTTTTGAAATGTGGTGGTTGCAGCAATAAGGCACAACCTTTACTTTGAAGGTGAACATTCTCCATTTCTGCTTTGTGTCACACTTATTTAAGTTGTAACAATCACATAGGTGGTGGTGGAGCCCTTTACGAATTATTTCACCCAGCAAGCAACCTCCAGCAACCAGTTACCAGCCCATTTTTCTAGTGACCAACATAGACAGGCGGTCATAACTAGTTTCCAGGCTTGTCTGACTGTGTTAGGGTACCTGGGTCATTGACCCAGTGTTTTCAGTTTTGTACTTTTATTTGTGTTCTCATCTTGGTTTATGACTGTGAGGGTTTTGGTTTCTGTTTGGCATGCTTTGGCATATGTTAATGTTGATTTCCAGGACGATTCATAATATGTGCATGTGTGTGTGTGTGTGTGTGTGTGTGTGTGTGTGTGTGTGTGTGTGTGTGTGTGTGTGTGTGTGTAAGAAATATATTTCTAATTTAGTGAAAGAAGAAAGAAGAAAAATGATGATAAAATAAGCAATAAATTTTGAAAATGATGTCCTTCAGATGCTGGAAATGTAGTGAAGAAAAAATGTAAAGACTGTATGCAAGATTAGACTGTCATGCCTATTTATATGCACATTGACTATGTAAATGTGTGCATGCAACTTTGATTTAATACATTCCCACCACTAAGTCTGGAAAATGCAGCAGATTGTCGGGCATGCTTTTGTGGTTAATTTAGCAACTTGTTTCACTGCCATGTGGCTTTTCCTGAGGAAATTGAGAAGCTGTTGGCTAATGCGAACACTGTCCTGACTGAATAAGGTACATGTCTCCTTATTATAGGGCAACCATCCAAAGAAAAACACATTTTCTGCCAGGAGTTCTTTCTTTAAGCAGTGATTTAATGCAGAATTTGATGTGGCATTCTCAAATACTTGAAAGAATGTCGGGGATTTGTGTTGAAATTCATTTGATGTTACGCTTAATTTCCTAATAAATTTCATCTCAGCATCCGTCAGATCATTAGGCTGAAATGGAAGTAGACATTAAGCTTGTGGAGATTTGTGGTCTTACTTGACAAAATAAGCCTCTTAATGTTACCCCTGGGGGTGTAAATTTAATTTACTTTTCTTTTTTAGGTCATGAATCCATGTAAAACATCACCACTGTGGCATGACACTTCATTTCAGTGACATAAAATCTTGAAATAATTGAAAGGAAGCTGTAAGGGTTGCAAATTTTACACAACCACATTTTAGATAATTCCAGTCGAAAAGATAATCTTTCTGGGTGAGTTAAAGATGAAGCAAAAATATATTTTCTCGCTATATGTTGCTACAGAGCTAATATTATGGATTTAACTATTTTTGTTGAGAATATTGTATACACTCAAACAGCCACTTTGTGCCTTCTTCATGGCATATATTCAACTAAGTGCTGGAAACATTCCTTATAGTGATTTTGGACCATTTTGAGATCATAACCGTTGCTACAGATTTATTTGCAGCTAAAACATAATCTTAATCCTCCATTGGATGACATCCCAAGTGGCAGTAAGGTGCCCAAAGTGTGGCAAGAAAATATATCCCTCACAATTACACCTTCACCATCAAACCTGTGATCTTCTGCTTTTCGTAGCCCATCTGCTTCAAGTTTAGGGGTGCCATGTGATCAGAGATGCTCTTCTGCATAAATTGGTTGTAATGACCTTGTAGTGACCTCCGAGATCAACAAGGCAGTTTCACCCAGAGAACTGCCACTCAGTTGATATTTTTGTTTTTCAGACCCTTCTCTGTAAACCCTAGAGATGTTTGTGTGCTAAATCACCGTAGGGACATTTTCAGCACTGCCTGAAGTATTAAGATCAGCCTGTCTGGCACCAGCAACCATGCCACGTACGAGTAATTCATCATTCTGTTGCTCATTTTGATTTTTTGGACCATGCTTACATGCATAAATGAGTTGGGACTGTTAAAGAAGTGCAACTAATGAAGTGGCCAGTGAATGTATAAATTACATGCTTTGTCTGAGGTTCATCATACTGACTTGTTCGTTCTTTGCTACCCACTCACATTTAAGATAACTGATTTTGAAAGATCCTGAGTGCTGAGCCCGGGAGCAGGTTGTTTGAAACCTCAACTGAACCTATTTTTCACCAATTACTTATGCCCTTGTTACTTTTCCTCACAAACAGTTAAATAATTCACAAGTTAATTATGAGTCAATAACATCAGCAGCAGCGATCTTTGGGCTAATGGATCAGGGCCTGTTGCATGCTTTCTGTTAGGCACTGAATTGATCAGAACTCAAACAAAACCTATTAAGTGAGCACAGTGAATGATAAAACACACAGTTGGGGGTTGGGGTGGTGAAACTATTTTTCCTTTATTTTTTATAGATTTCTTTATATTGCTATACCAACTCTATACCTTTAAAATACATAATGTGTATTATAGGTTTCTTTGATCCCTAAAAAAGCTCAGACTCCTTAAAGTTTGTCAGTTAACAGTAGTGCAAATTATTTCCTCTCTCTCTGCCTGTAGACGATGAGCAGTCGTTTTTTCCCCCATGACGCCATCATCACCGACGCAGTCCTCAGTCTGGATGAAGACTCTGTTCTCTCAACCAATGAGGTGAGTTAACGATAGTTGATCAACCAACTGAGACTACACTGAAGTTTTACATACAGGTGAACTGAGATACTGGTGCTTTATCAACAAAATGAGGTGAGACAGCGATGCTCCCAAGGCACATTGTTACCAAACACTGATATCAGCCTCAGATCCCAAGTTAGTAAAGAAGCCACTTCAACATAGCTGTGCAAAAACACATGGAAGAACTATTCCTTTTTCTTACTCTCAGCCTAAACAATGACTTTCAAAGATATTTAGTGAAAACTGGTCTTTAATTTGAGACGGAGGTAATTAAAGCAGTTACAATGTCTGCTTTTACAAAATTATTTGACTGAACTGACTTAAGCTAGCATTCACTCATTTAGCATTTTAAAAATGTGAAGACATTAAAAACTAAAAAATCTAAACCTTAATCTTTGGCTAATAAGAGCAATGTCACAGTTTCAATGATTAGCTGACAATCATGGTGAAGAATATAGAGCTGTCAGATTTATTGTATATCTTCTATTATTCACTTTTCAAGTTACACTATGTGGACAAAATTATTTAGCTATTTCTTTACCTTGGAATTCAGGTGTTTATACTTTCCATTACCACAGGTATATAAATTCAAGCTCTTGCAGTCTGCTTTTTGCAAACATTAGTGAAGGTGTGGTACTGCAATAGAATGCAATCTTTGCAAGAAGTCAGGTTATGCTATTCTACAATCAGCTGTAAGTTGTATTATTGAAAAGTTGAAGTGTTTAGGAACCACAGCATCTCAGAGCATGTAAAGTTAAAGAGCGGGGTTGCAAGTGCTGAGGTGCATAGTGCTTGAAAGTCACCAGAGCTTTGCTGACTCAATAACTGCAGAGTTTCAAATCTCCTCTGGCTTTAACTCCAGCCCAAAAATGGTGTAGCTTGGCATGACTTTCCATGGCCATACAGCTCCTGTAGGTGAAATGTGTAGGTGTCCCAGTACATTTGTCAATATAGTTTACAAAAACAAAGTACAGTTGACCTGACAGCTGCACTTGCTGCAGCTTGAGAAGACATCTGCAAATTTTAAAAGCAAGATAATTCAGAAAAAAGCTTTATTATTTGACACCACGGGAAAATGTAGATCCTGTTTGTTTCAGCGTGTTTCTACTTTTGGTTTACAGCTCACTTCAAGTTGCAGTTCATTTAGCTCTCAGGGCCACTGTAGAAAATAGTTTGACAATGAGGATTAATCAGTGGCTTTGGTAAAAGTAATGCAAACTCAAGTAACCTTGCCTGGGGCTCCTAATATGCAGACTTTCCCAAATTTAATAAACCGCCTTTGTGAAACATTTTAAAAGCTGCTGAGCAAGTTGGCAAAAGCAGAGATTTACACAAATTGTGTTCATCCCTACAATTTACTCAACTTTGATAGAAATGAATACTTGAATACTATAATTGTGTATAAAAATGTTTTTTTACAGCTTGATGTGATCTGCATGGTTTTATGGCAGTCAGTGGTAAAAGGTGACGATTTCTTAACACATTATTGGTCCTCTTTGAAATGAAACAGTCTGTTCTCGAAGAGTCATGAATACTATTCATTATAAATGAAACGCCTCACTCTACAAAACAGCACCATGGCCACTGAACTTAAGGTGGAAAATGTGTTTTGCCTTTAAAGGATGATTAAAAACTAAGCGAGACGAGTAGGAAGTCTAACATGGCAGCAGAATCGGATAGCAAAGAGTTCTGATTACAGACGCCACAAACTGAGATCCTGCCTTTACTAAATTACTGTGGAACTCGTTCAATTTGTATTCTTGTAATTGAAATTAACCCAGTGAAAAGGTGAGAGAAAGGAATAATGTGAGCAGTGTTAAAATGTGAAAGAAAATACAGGCTAGAAAGGGGAAAAAGTTCTTTGATTAAAGTCTCACTTGTTACTTAAAAACAAGGATGAGGAACACTTTTGTACTGTTTTAGAACAAATTAGAAACCAGAGAATTGTTTGAAGCTCTGTCAAGGGAGGAAATAATGTTAATAATCCACCTTTTTAAAATATTGTAGCAGAGTTAGTGAGCCAAGTGGGGCTTAGCAAAACCACTGAAATATGAACATTGCAGAGGCACACAGTTCTCGAGACTTGAAGGGCATTCAAAGCTCTTTTGATGTTGGTTCTCACGACCATGACGGATAGCACTGCATTGTGGGCTTTTCTTTCAAAAACGTTTAGATTTTGTGGCTTAAGAAACAAACAAACAAAAAAAACAAAAATCATTCCTCTGATATTGGTTTAATTACTTTAAAATAAAAACAGGAAGGAAAAAAAGATTTGCATAGTACTACAAATCAGAAAATACTGTCAACATATTTTATTGTCATTTTTTTAGGGCTAGAACCGTCTAGATACTTGTGACACTTGGAGGCAAAATTCACTTTAAACCATTCAAAAATAAAAACATTATGCACAGTTGTGGTAGATTTGTTCCATGCTAACTTTACCTGGTAAAGTTTACCCCGAATTTGATTTCTGTGTAGTTTTCTGAATTGTTGAAGGCTGTAGCCATTTATATTTATTTTTTATATTATATATATTTTTGGAGGCTGACTAACAGCCTTAATTGCAGTACTGCAGCCTTCTAGTGGTAGACTTTAAAACTAAAAAAAAAAAAAGATTTAATGGCTATTTAAATATTTGTATTAACTTCATCCGTAGTATAAATCTAGAGGTGATACATGAACAATCCCCTGCACAGTATAAGGAATGTGTAATAGAGAGTGGAAATGTGTGAAGTACGGTGCTTCTAATTCATGGTATAGAAAGCTTTTTTAAGAAAACAGCCTTCATAGTACATTTTCTATTAAAGAATTCTATACATTTCAATTGAAAAACATTATTTACAAGTAAAAGCTGTTGAAAGTTTTCTGAAATCATATGAACTATAATGTTATCAAACATACAGTCATTTGCTTGAATGTCCAGATAGACAAATACAGACAAGTATGACCCAAGTCACAAAGTTTCCTTACCTTCACGGCAGCAATACGGTCACAAGCAGCTCATCTGTGATGCTAAATTAGTGCTCCTGCTTTAAGAGCCATTACAAGTAGCTGCCTTGTTTCTTTCTCTGCAGATCTTCAGCGAATGAAAGATGCAATCCATAATAGATTGTGAGGCCCAATGAGCCCTAGAGATCGAATATATCTTTAAACTCTAAGATGTTTTATTGATCGGAGCAAGTCAATGTTCACCTTTTCTACGCAAACGGGATCGCAATTACACTTTATAGCACCACAATTTCAGGCACAGCAATATGAGCAAGTTTCTACAACTAAACTTTTATGAGCACACGGCTTGTTTTATGAAACGAGAGGAGGGAGAAAATGTCAGGGAGAGAACTAGTGAATAAGAGAGGAAGTGAAGTGAATCTTTGCTGTGCTTACTAACCCATAGCTCTAATTGCCCTTTTAACATGGTGAGAGGCTTTATTGAAAGGAGATGGAATATGTCAATTCACTAAAAATGTGCAAGAGAGAACATTACACTTTTAATAGGACTTTTCATATTACAATACCTCAGCAGAAGAATGGCTGTGCCAATTTCATAATTACATTGTTTCAGCTCATTAAATGTATGATTATTCCATGAAGAGAGATTAGAGAAGGGGATACGACCTGACAAAGCTTTTGTCTCTCATTGGGCAGCCAAGCATGCTGCTGAATTATGCCCTTTGGAAGACATTTTCTATATGATAGATATGGAAATTGTGTTACAACAGCAGTGGCAGAATCTTGATCCTCATTTCATTTAAAGGTTGTCTCCGGGTTTGAACATGTTTCAGAGCACTTATTATTTTCATTAGTATTCAAGGTTTTCAGTACACACTTTTAAACAAATCATGAATTCATAGAAAAGATAATGATTGACCTCTATGGCTTTCTTTTGCTCATTGACGCTATCTCATTTCATTTAGGGTATTTTCTCCCATTAAGTTCATATTTCTTACCTATTGATTGATTGGATGAGTTGAAAGTGTCACTTTGAGGCCCCCGGCTTCAGCATGCTCGATATTGGACTGACAGTGTGGGAAATCCTGCCAATCAAAATCTGAATTCTTCCACCTTCAAGTGATTTCTGAATGTCTTTCAGGGTCTGCATCACTGCTTAGTTGTGTCAAAGGTCTATATGAACACAGCAAGCCAGCTGAACATGGGTTATGCCAAGATAATGAGTGTTATTTACTTCACCTGTGAGTGGTTTAAATCTTGTGTCTAAAGCACTTTATAAAAGATGCATGTGGTGTTCAAGAAAAATGAAGCCAATTTAGAGGCATCTAAAACCTGGTGTGTTTCTAATCCAGAACAGCAAGCAAGGAAACCCCATATTAGTTTAAATTTGAATTCTTCATCACTTCAAATCCCTGCATTTTCACTGACACTCTGTGGGTCTCTGGTCTCACTGTTAGTTTCCTTCTGTGTGCATGGTTCTCTAAAGTACATAAAAGGGTCCTTTAAATTAAGTGCTTTGTAGTAAGTTTTTGAAACAGTTTTGATAAAATAAGACAACATATTCTTGGATCATATCAAACATTTTTTTAACCCCTCTATCGATCCCTACGTCCTCCTTTGGCTTTTCTCATGCATCTTCCAAATTACTTCAAAGCCTCAGTCACACAGGCCTAGAGACCAGTCTGCAGCCCCCTGCCAACTTCTGGTCACTAGGGAAAAATGTGTAGTCCTCTACTGGTTGATGAAGTTGGAGGTTCATGAGTGAAACTGGTCACAAAGAGGCAATCTGCTCATGACCAAAGGCATCACAATGTGGTTTTTGGTGCAATACTGAAATACAGTATATTTCACATAGGGACAACAAGCAACATCCAGCCACTCAACGCTTGCAACTGGTTTGGGGTGAACCGTGGCCAAATGGTCACCAGTTGGTCTCTAGGCTTCTGTGACTGGGGCCCTAACATTTACCATTTGGACATTTGCTGAAAAAAAATCTGGAGCACAAATTCAGTCTACCCTAACTTCCCTTTGAACCAAGGAAGCCTGGTGTGCTCCGCATACACATGTAAATTATAAACCTTTACCTTGAAGAGAATATGTCTTGATATTGGAGCTGCATATTTAATAATTTAACTTTAATTTAATTTAACTGTTTGGAGATTCAGCTGATGTTTGTATGTAGAAGCTATAATAGACTGTAGTGCTGGCATGCAGCACTGAACGCCAAATGCTTAACCTTTGCAATCTATAGAAGAACCTTTAAGCAATCAATGAAAGATACTTTTGGAGTCGCAAAGATGAGACATAACCTCACAGCACTGAGACTACTTGGTGAGAATGGCTACAGTCTTAAAACGCTGCAAAATACAAAACTGCTATAGCTCCCTTTAGCCCCAAACTGCAGACCTTAAAACCCAGCTGGCTATCTTGGATCACACTGAGACTGCTGGTAAAACTTCATCAACGCCACAGCACTCCAAACCTGCTGGATACAAGATCAGTTTACGACACATTTTCCTGAGTTTTATCATCCTGAAGACAGGTGGAGGTTGACAGTGAAAGCACTGCAGTGGCATTGCGTCATGGAGAGGAAAATAAATAAATAAAACCAGACACAACTTTTCAACAACCAAAGCATTGAAAACACTGAGAGGAGATAGGGGCTCTAAAATCTGATGCGACACCTTTTCATCTTATAAGACTGGACATGTTAAACCCAAATGTCAGGAGAGATTTGTAGCAGATCTATTGCTGGATTGACCCTCGACTTTTCAGATCAATTTTGGCTTTGTAGAATCCATCAGTATGAATTACACACACACACACACACACACACACACACACACACACACACACACACACACACACACACACACACACACACACACACAC